ATAATGACAATGCTAGAAAATAGAATCAATTTTCAGTTTACATAATTTTCTGATATCAGTTAGCCAAGTAAAAATCAGAATTAGATATAACAAAAAAAAACATTTGCTTTGCAAAAATCATAGTTATCTTGAAATTTTGATTAGTAAATTGTTTTGGTGTTTTTAATAAAAAAATTTTTCTATATAATTTTGCTATACTATAGCCACCTTTAATTTTAACTTAAATTTAACTTCTAATATTAATTAATTTTTTATTTAACTACTATTAACATTAAAAAAATTAGAGAATGTAGGTCCTATAATTTAATAGTTAAGCTCTCATATTTCTACAGTCAAGGTCAACAGTTCAAGTTTGGCTAAAGGAAAAATTAAAAAATTTTAGTTTCTGTAACCCATAAGGAGCTTATAATTGAACATGAACCTCTGTAATCAAGTTCAAGTGTAGTATATAATGAAAAAAGAAATTTTTAGAAAAAAACTGACTCTGCAGAGTGTAGGCACTATATGTAGTAGCAGCATCACAGAAGGTTCCATTACACAAAGGTTTGCACATATAAGTCCTCTAAAGATGGGGCAGTATTAACATCTTCACATCCAACTTATGGAGTACTTGATTGGAAGGGTGATACCAAAGTAACATGAACTGGAGTAGTGAGAGAAGCAGTGCATGCATAGAAGGTTTGTGACAAAGAATTAGCTTTATTAAGATTAGAAGCATCTCTGACATCATAGAACATCTAAGAATAGAAGATAACTATCTGTATAGAGAAGTTGTAGCCTGTTCTGTATATCTAAAAGTTCCAAACCAGAGCTCTAGTCACACCTATATGGAAGCCTATAGTGAAACAAGTAGAACATACTAACATAAATACCATATCAATCATGGTTGAGATATTTAAATTGGAAGTTAAAACCTCAAGAACTTTGTGTCAGTAGTGAAAATACTGATTTATAGCTAAAAGAGAATATGTATCTATTTTCAAAATAGAGTTCCATCTATACTATAAAAGGGAGTACTTAAGGGGCAGATTAAATATACAATCTGTTGAACATAATACTAAGACCAAGAAGGGTTACAAACCAGTAACGATAGCAAGAACCTGGCTTGAGATATGTGCTACTAGTATCTGAATTGAGAAGTTAGCAGTAATAGCAAAAACCTGACTTGAGATATGTATTAGAGAGGCACCTTTTGGACAAACCAAAGATAGTAGCTCAAAAGGAATGAATGACTTAATAGACCAATTTGGGAGTTATTAAAATAGGTTGTAAAACATGAGGGAAATATGCAGGTTATCTAATATAATTAGTAGTGAAACAAAAATCTAGGTTAGATGTGAGTAGAACACAATACAGAACTCTGATAGGTTTAGGTTGCAGATAAATATGTCTGAGTCCTATATCTAAATAAATATATAGTGATAGATGATGTATAAAATAGATTTGTACTAGCTATAATAAATATACTAATAAAGACTAAAGGGCATGACCTCACCTTAATACTAAAAAAAAAAAAAAAAAAACATTAAAAAAATCATATGTCAGAAAAATTAATCCTAATCTCTATCAATTTTAATGCAAGATGTATAATTATATATTTCTCATATAATACTAATAATGATCATTAGTAGTGATTTGTAGTAATTTTATAATATTTAATATAAAATTTTAAGACAAATTATTTAAAATAAGTAACTAAAAATTATAAGTATAGTTAGTTATATTTTTATTTTTTTTATATATATTAAACTAGTTTTTTTAAAACTAAAGTTTATTTATTTAGTAAAGTAAAACATAAGAGCTTATAACTAATTATTTTACAAAAGTTATTTTAAATTAAAAGTATATCTAATTATATATATACTTTTGGTCTTAAGCCATTATATATTTCAAAACATGTTATAGAATTATAAATAAATTTACAAAAATGAACTAATTATATAACATTTTTTAAGTATAAGCATGCTTTTTAATTATATAATATACTTATAAGCATATTCATAGGTCATGCCCTATGCTTTTATACTCTGAGTCCTAGTAGTAATGCAAAAATAAAAAGTGATAAAGATTGTTGTAATGGTATTAAAGATATAGAAGATAATAAGTTTAGTGTTAATATTATTATATATTAATTTGTTAAGTTAAGAAGGCCATCTTTTGTTGTATTTAATAGTGCTTGTTAAAATTGAGTAAAAACTCAATTATCAAGTTTAAGCATCTATCTGTAATACAAATTAGATCTTAAATTATTTTATTTATTTTTAATAAACTAATAAATCAAATATAATATTTATTTTTTTAAATATTAACGGTGAGGCCATGCCTTAAATATAACATTTATATTTTATAATCTTGTTTTTATTAGTAATTAATTTAGTAGATGAATGCAGATTACTTTATTTTGAAGTATTTAAAAAAAACTATTCAGGTTTGCAGAGATCTTCAAATTAGTAGATGGGTTATAAATCATGATATATAAGTTACTTGTTTAATTTATTATTATTATTTTTTAATTATTATTATTACTGATACTTATGATAATATGTGTGTTTTTTTTTTGAATTTTGGTTCTTACTAGTCTTTTTTCTGTCATTTATAGTAGATTATTTGGCTTTTCTTGTGGTCTTTTTGGTTTTCTCATTCTTTCAATAATTATGGTAATATGTATGTTTTTTTTTCTTATTGAATTTTGGTTCTTATTAGTTTTTCTTTTGTTGATTATGATAAATCTTTTAACTTCTCTTGTAGTCTTTTTGCTTCTCTTCTAGCAATTATAGTGATATATATGTATATATTTTTTTTTTGAATTTTGGTTTTTATGGTCTTTCTTCTGTCAATTATGATAGATCTTTCAGCTTTTCTTATAGTCTTCCTATTTTTCTCATTCTTTTGGTGATTATGGTAGTATATATGTTTTTTTTTCTTATTTTCTTTTTGAATTTTAGTTCTTACCAGTCTTCCTTCTATTGATTATGATAAATTTTTTGGCTTTTCTTATGGTCTTTCTGCTTCTCTTCTTCTAGCAATTATGATAGCATATATATATATTTATTTTTTTTTTGAATTTTGGTTCTTACTGATCTTTTTTCTGTTAATTATAATAAATCTTTTAGCTTTTTTTGTATTCTTTCTGCTTTTCTTATTTTTTCAGTAATTATAGTAATAAGTATGTATTTTTTTTCTTTTTTTCTTATTGAAGTTTGGTTCTTATTAGTCTTTCTTCTATTAATTATGATGAATCTTTTAGCTTCTCTTGTGTTCTTTCTGCTTCTCTTCTTTTAGCAATTATGGTGATATGTATGTTTTTTTTTCTTTTTGAATTTTGGTTCTTACTGGTCTTCTTTTTGTTGATTATAATAGATCTTTTGGCTTTTCTTATAGTCTTTCTTAGTGATCGTATTCTAAGGTATTGTAACCAGTTAACTGTTAGGTTACTCAGATAGCCAGATGATAAAATTAGTTAACAGATAAATAATTAAGATATCCAGTTAACCCAAGGAGATAACTTAAGATAAAACAGATTAAAATATAATTATTTATCTGCATCAGATTAAAACAATCATAATTCTGCTCAAGATAGGACTGTTAATATTACACATTTGATCCTACTCATGATATGATCAATTAATTATAAATTATTTATGTTGAGTTCAATTTTATAATGTATGTCACAGATATAATCCCTTACTGATTAAACTATATTTATAATGTTAATAGTCTCTCTTGTATAATTCTGCTACTACCTATCCTTATATAGACATCTAATCTATTCTTAATAAAACTAATCTGATGCATGATACATATAGATTATTAATTTTTAATTGGTATATCGTTTATGTACTAATGTGTTTTAGAATTGTTTTGTCTATAAGTTTTTGATAAAATGCCAATATGGCATTAAAATGTTTATATTATATTTATAAATGATTGCTTGTCAGTATTATTACAGATCAGGTTTTGCAGATCACTAATTTAGCTCTTTAGCCTTTTATGTAATGTAATTAAAGCATGTAATGATAACAATGTATTAAATAATAACATGAAAAATTATGTGAAGAGAATTTGACCAAAAATTCTATCTATATTTTTTACAAGAATGAATTAGAAATTTGGTGAATAAATCATTATATAAGGGAATAGAATAAGTAGTGATAGCTAACTAAGAATAAAAGGATATTTAGACTATTTGTAAATAAGATTAGTCTTTTTTAATAGTCTTATTGTACTAAACTAGTTTTATCCTCCCTTTACTCAACAGTATTTTGACCTTCTGATAAAGATACAAATACTGTTTAATAGCTATAAACAGTGCAATGATTACTTAATTAAATAGACATAGGTTTCATGGCTGCAGAGATAATGCAAAACCTTCTTCTTTTTACTTTATTAGTATATTAACATATTAATAGTTACAAGAAGCAATAGATCAGAGCTAAGATAAAGATGGCAAAATCCTATTCTGATAAATTATTTCTTTGTTGTTAAATAAAAAATCCTATCGAGCAACAATAATTAAACTAAATTTAATTGTAAACATGTGCATAACCTATATAACCACATTATCATCAAGTTAAAACCTGTAAGAACTTTAAGTTTTATGCAGATAAATTAATATTATATAATTAAAGCTCATTAGAAACTTTATATATATGGCTAGAGTATTAATTAAGATCTATAATAAATCTTATCTTTTAACAGTTTTTACTATTTTATTAGATATCAGTTTGGAAATTGATTGAATAAGAACACCATATGGTGTTTTATGATAAAGGTCAAAATAAAAAAAAATTTGATTAAATAATTTAATCAAATCAGAATTAAATATTATTGTTAATATGTTGATGTAAATGCATCCAAAAAATTTGATTGTTATATAAGATTTCTGGCTAACATTTACATAAAATGAAATAATAATCAATGAATTAAAATAGGTATAAAATCTATAATAAATTATAAAATAAGAACATGTCATTGTTAAGAATAATACAACTATAAACAAAATGTTTAGTGATAATTCTTCTAATGAAGAAAATATTGTAACTTCTTCAAGCTCTAATAAAACATACAAAAAACAAAAAAAAATATCTGATATACACATATTAAGCTTAGAATTATCTCACTTTGAAGAAACTATTTCTGATAAATGCAATAGTCTGATTAATAGTAATAATGATAATGCATTTGATGAGTACTATAATCCAGTTAACAGTGATAATGATAATGTGACTGATGAATATAATAACCCAGTTAATAAAGACTCTCATTCAGTCTTACCAAAAAGATTATTAAAACTATCAAATTTAAAAAAAATCAAGCTGGTTCCTCTTAAAAAACATTCAGGATGAGCTGGATTTAGTTATATTATCAATGCTATGAACCTGTATTACCTTATAAAACAATTGTAAGTTGTTTAATGAAAGTTTATAAGAGTAATAAAGAGGAATTATGTGAACATATTATGGGCTCAGTAGATAGTTTAACAGAAAATTATATTGGATACTTAGTAACATGATATGATATTATAGAAAGTTCTCATAATGAAAAAATAAAAAAATCACTACTATCACAACTTCTAATTGACAAAATGTTATTTAATAATTTAGAGCATAAGTGGCATAAAGACCAAAAATTCATTAAACTTTTAATTAAAAATCAGCAACCAATAAGTATTTGAAATGATGAAGGTTTTAAAGACTTTATTGCAAAATTTGATCAGTTATACTAATTTCCAAGTAAAAAATATTGTTGACAATTATTTTCTGTAGCATATAAAAACACTAAACAATCTTTTTAAATGTATTTGAAAAAAATATTATATTATGTTCATTAACCTGTGATTTATGGACTGGATGTAATAGATTAGGATACTTAGATGTTATTTGTTTTTATATTGATAATAATTTTCAATTACAAGAAAATATACTTGCCACTCAGTATCTCTCTTATCCACATAATGACAAGACTATCGCTAACATATTAAATTCAATTATTAAGGAATGGAAACTTAATAATAAAGTATTTATAATTACTAATGATAATGGTAGTAATATAGTTAAAGCTCTATATTTAATGCCTAGTATTATTCACATACCATGCACAGTGCATACCCTTCAGTTAGTTGTTAGGAAAGGTCTTTTAGAAGTAGAAAATTTAGTTGCACAGGCAAAAAAGCTCATATTATATTTTACTACTTCTAAACAAACTCAGTGACTTTTAGAAGCTCAAAAAAAATTTAATTGTAATAAAGATATTGTAAATATAGTCTTTTTTTATTTATATAAATTAAAATTATTAAATCTTTTATTAAATTTAAATTTTTTATAATTAGAATCTTTCTCAAAATGGTCATGAATTACATATAATTGCTGATATGCCAACAAGGTAGAACTTATCTTATCTTGCTTGGTAATAGTTAATTAAAATTCAAAACATAATTGACCTTATTATTACTATGCTTTCTATAGATAAAGATTATCAAATACAAAAAGAAGATGCAAATTAAAAAAATTAATCTTACAGAGTCTGAATAAAAAGCTATTAAAAGTCTTGTTATAGTTCTCGAATCATTTGCAGAAGCAACTGACCTTTTAGGAAGTAGTAAATATACAATGATAAGTTTTATGTATAGTGTGATTAATGTAATTACTAATAGTCTTATACTTACTGAGAATTTAGAATTATGAGAAGTAAATTATAAAGATAATGGAAATGTTTTTAATGATGCTATTTTAAATGAAGATCAAGCAGATAATATTAAGTTGATAAACTTTTAAAAACAGCTCAATATTCTTCAGAACTGTACAAATTTTGAGAAAAGGGTAAAAATGACTTTATATAATACTATGAGCTATTATTGGCAAGTACTATCTGATGAAGAAATATTAGCAACATTACTTGATCTTCAATGTAAAATGTTAAGTTTTATTTCAGAATCCTCAAGATCCAGAACCTATAATCTGTTATGTAAAATATATAAGCAACATCAAGATCAAACAAATATACTATCTATTAAACAGCCTTTACCATCTACAAGCAAACTATTAGCCTCTATGTATCAGTCAAGTAATGCTCAAATGGATGAAATCTCTGACTATATTGGAATGCCAGAAATTTCTTATGATCAATGTCCATTTGAATAGTAGAAAAATAACAAAAGTCATTTTCCAGTTTTAGCTTATTTGGCATGAAAATATCTAGCTATTTTAGCTACTTCAACTTCAAGTGAAAGGCTATTTAGTAATACTGAAAATATAATGTCTGTTAAAAGAACAAATCTTTTACCTATCATATTTGAGCATTTAATTTTTTTAAAAAGAAATCATCATAGTGTTGATAGTATTTTTCCAAATATGAAGAATAAGGAGTAAATAATTTTTATAAAAAATATTTTATATAGATTAAATAGTTTATTTTCTTATTGTTATATATAAATAGACAAATATCAAAATTTTTTTTTAAATATATATTATTAATAAAATATATATTGATAATCTTTTTTTTATAATTATATGTGTATGCATAACTAAATTAGTGATAAGAATTAGTAATATGTTTGCAATAATAAAAATATAATTAAAAGATAGATAGTATATATAATACAAAAATAAGGTTACTATATCGAAACTAGAATATCACTAACTATTTTAACTTTCGTACTATAGTATATTGTTTTAAGTCTGAAAGGTTAAAAAAGGAGTATTAAATTTGACTAGTTTATTAACAAAATGCCTAAGCCAATATTACTGAAAGATCAATAAATTAATCATTAGAATAATTCACCTATCTATTATTTAAGACAAGATTAAATAGCATTATAGCTCAGAAAATAACTTTTGCACTTTAGTTACCAAGTTCTAACTTTAAGCTGTAGGCATAAAATGATTTTGCATTTAAGAAGAATGAGTATTTGCTTATTAAATAAAAGTGATATGATTTGAAAAAATATAGGAGACTTTGGGCTCTCATTTGGCAACTTACGTATAGCAATTAAACTACTTAAGGTTATCTGCATACAGATCTCAAGCATATAAGAATAAAAACTATTATATACAAATAAAGCAATAGATTTTATAAGGCAAAATGTAGTAATTGCTGTGCAAAGCATAAACTATAGTATAAAGTAGTATAAAATTAATTACTTTTAACTTAGAAGGTATATAGATCATTGTGCAAGATTGAAATAATCTATTGATTTAACAACTATTAAAAAAATTTCATAATAATGAAAACTTTGAAAAGATAAGTTAATTTATTTAGAGAAATGTTTTTATTAGTTTTTTTGATAAATATTTATTTATTTTTTGGCACATAACTAATTTTGTTTATTTCGTAATAATTTATTGCTAAACTAGAAAATAAATATGATAGTTTATCTTTATTATCTTTAGAGAATGTGTATTTCAATTATTTAATTAAATTTAAGATTTAGAGTTTAGTCTGGGGCAAGGACATGATTAAGATCAAATTTTGTGTATTTAAAAAAATTCAATAATGTAATGTGTTGTTTTTTTTTAGCATATTTCATGAAATTTTGTAAGATTCTGTAATAATAAAGTTAGTTTTGCATAATTCTGTAACTGTTTAGTGTTAATTCTGTGATTTAATAAAATATATTTATTAAAAATACTTAATAGAAAGTTTTTGAAGCAAATTAATCCAAATTCTAATTTATATACAGTAAATATATATCTTTTAATTAGCCTCTTTATCTTATTTTTTTGAAATTTACTGCTTAATTCTGTGATATTTTTGCAGTGATTGTATGATTTTTTCAGGATTTTGTGATATTTTTGCATATTCTGTCAATTTTTATAGTTAGACTGTTTTTTAAAAAAAATTCTACTGTTTCTATAATCACTGCAAATTATCATTGCTGGTCTGATGTTAGGATAAGAGTATGTTATAGGTAAAATGATCTTTTTGTCATTTTAATTTACATCCTAAAATAGATTTAGATAGCTGTTTTCCATTAACTATACATTACGTGATTGTATATATCTTAAATAATTTTCCATATTTAGGTATAACCTGAATATAACTGTTATTCTCTTACTTCAATAAGGTATAAAACTGGTTATTTGGTTTTATAAAAGGTTATAATCTTTAGGATAAAAGGTTATCTGGATACAATCTTTAGTCTTCCTGCTTCTCTTATTTTTCTGATGATTATAGTGTATCTATATTTTTTTTCTTTTTGAATTTTGGTTCTTACTGGTCCTTTTTCTGTTAGTTATGATGAATTTTTTGACTTTTTTCATAGTCTTTTTGCTTTTCTTATTCTTTCAATGATTATGATAATATGTATGTATTTTTTTTTCTTTTTTTATATTGAATTTTGGTTCTTATTAGTCTTCCTTCTGTTGATTATAATAAATCTTTTAGCTTTTCTTATAATCTTTTTGCTTCTCTTCTTTTAGCAATTATAATAGTATATATATATGTTTTTTTTTTCTTTTTTTTTAAATTTTGTTTCTTACTAGTCTTCTTTCTGTTAATTATAGTGTATCTTTTGGCTTTTCTTGTAGTCTTTCTGGTTCTTTTATTCTTTTAATAATTATGATATTTTTATTTTTGATAATTTTTTCTGGCTTTCTTGACTTGTAATATATACAGTATGTTCTTTTTTTTGAAATTTTTAGTTCTTATTAGTTTCTTGTAACTTTTTTTAACATTTATAATAAATCTTTTCACCTTCTCTTGCAGTTCTTCTGTTAATTATGATAAATCTTTTTGATTTTTCTTATGATTTTTGTAGTGATTTCAATAAATCATTCTAGCTTCTTATTTTTTTGACTCTTTTTTTTGGCCTTTCATATTAGATAGTTCTTTCTAACTTCTTTTACCCTTTTTTTTTTTGTACTATTATAATTTTAGACATAGTGTATATTATAGAATAATATGCTATATATTTAAATTCACTTAGATTTGAGAGCTGCAAAGAAAAACTTATAATTCTTATTAGATAAAAATTTAGGTTTCTCCTTTATGTACCTATATATAAATCAGGATAGTAATCTTCTATGTTTTTTTTTTATATAGTGAAATTGCTTATTTTATTATACAAAATTTAATAAATAATTTTAATAAAAATTTTTAATTAGATCTGGATTAAATTTCTAAAGTTGTTATATAGCATGTTACAATTAGATTCATTCTTTAATAAAAACAAATTATGTGATTATTTAAATAAATAATATAATTAAATTTCTTAAAAAAGTTGAAATTCAATTTTATTTTGATAGCAAAATCTAATATATAAATAGTAAAGTTATGCCAAAACTTAATTAATTAATTATGACATAGCCTGGTTTAATTTCATAAAAATTTTAATTATATATTTTTTATA